CTCTGCTCGACGAATGGCGGCGTTGTGTGGCGAACGTGCAGCCACTGGCTCGAACACATCAACGCTGGCTGTTGTCGTGGTGGTGATGTCCGCCTTGTTGGGGGTGAGCTGAGCATCGTTGATGCCAACCTCCACTGTCAGTGCGCAGTGCTTCAGGGGCTGGTCGTGTTCGGTTCGCAGCAGCAGGCGCGTGCAGTCGCGTGTCAGCGCCGTGATGGCAATCGCCGTCTGGCCCAGCACAGGCCACCTGCTCACATCGTCATGGGCCGCTGCTGCCTGTGCGGTACCTGCATCCGGCTCATCCCCGAGGTGTTGGCGCCCATGTGACTGCGATCCGGTATTGCGCTTGCTTTGATGTGAGGGTTTCCCTGTCGCTCGTGTGGAAGCAGGGGACACCCGCACCACAAGGAGAAGGCAGGCCAGTTCAGGGTAGCGGACATGGCAGTGAAATGCGGGCACGTTGAGCTGAAACACATCACCACTGCCGGTGCCGCTTTTCGCCCTCCCACGGTTGCTGCTACTGCTGTTGTTGCTGAGCGCGATGCGTTGCAGCACACGTGTTCGTGCTTGATCACAGGGTGCGCCCATCACAACAGCTTCCACAGCAACTTCGACCCCTCGCGCATGCTTTGACACATGCGCGTCATGTTCTCCGCTGCCGTCGTCCTGCTGTCCTTCCCCTTGACGCTGCTGCTGCTGCTGCTGCTGCTGCTGCTGTTGGTAGTGCTGCTGCTGCTGTTGCTGTTCATGATGCCCGCCTTCACGCTCAGACTTTGAGGTTGCGTGCTTCCATTGTCCGTTTCGTGTCAACAGCGCGGCGTGTGGCGGCGGCAAGAACGTCGCTGGCACTGGCACATATGGTCGCAGGTAATGTCGATCGAAGGTGGCTTTGCCTGCCTGTTTATCGTGGCTGTGCTGCTGCTCACTGTGGTGCTTGTGGTGGTGGTGGTGGTGGTGGTGGTGGTGGTGGTTGCTGTGTCTGTCGTGGTGGAGAGTGCCATGACGCTGTAGCGTGAGGTGCTGGCGCTTCAGCTGTTTGCGGTGGCGAGCGAGCAGCTTGAGCACGCGCCGTCTTGATACGGCCAGGCCCTGCACCTGGATGGTGACGTGCTGCGGTGGTGCTTTATCCGTCATGTCAGTGTCTGTCGCTGCTCGAGCTGTTGCTACAGCATCTGTGTCGCCAGTGGTGCCTGCGGCAGCCGGCAGGGCGTGGTCACTGCCACCAAAGAGGTCACAGCGAATCACTTCTGTTCGCAGGCACTCTGGCTTGAGCACGTACCCTGCCCCGCCATTGTGGGTGCGGAAGTAACCGGTTGTTGCCCACACGCTCTCATCTGCGTGCGGAAGGTGCAACGCCGCCAGCTGCACGCCTTGGTGCATGAGGGTGATGGGAGATGCGTGGGGTGCGCCAACGCCAATGTCGTCGGGGCGCGCGAGAACGAGGTGGCGGTGCGCATGTTCCATCATGCTGGATGCTCCGTTGCGCGTGTGCTTCTCCAGCTGCTTGTACGTGAACTCTGTGGCTGCGTGGGTGGCGGCAAATCTGCTCCCGTACAAGCTCTTGAATGTGGTGAAGTCGAGGTAGACGAGGCGCTTCAGCTCGGGCGGCAGGCCGCGGTACCGCCGCCGGCCCAGCCCGTTGTCGCGGTGCACAAGGACCACCTTGTGCATGAGTTCCTGCGGCGTGTGCAGCGTGGTGGCCGGGCCCGAGGGGACAAAGAGAAGGTCGCCCAGCTCTTCCTCCAGGACGCGTGCCTGTGCCTTCATGCTGCGGTAGGAGCTGTAGTCGTCAATGAGGAGCAGGAGCGGGTAGCTGCTGCGCTCGAAGGCGCATTCCCGAACCGCGGCCACGCAGGCGCGAAGGCTGATGGGCTTGGCGGCGTGCGCGACGTGAAACACCACGGGCTCGCTGGAGGTGAGCGGTGACATGTAGGAGAGCCAGCCGGGAGGGCGATCGTGGACAGCGAGGTGGATGCAACGCGCGTTTGTGGTCTGCAGGACGCGTCGTAGCGCAGCCGTGCTCGGCGTGCCTTTGATAACAGCGTTTGCATCCACAAAAGCGTTCCACGCCGTGAAGATGTAGTAATGGGAGAGGGGCTGCGTCATGTCATCCAAATCACACGTGACGATGTCTTCAGCTGGATCGCCAGTTCTAGCTGCTGCTGCTGCTGCTGTTGCTTGTGGTGTGGTGGTGTGGGAGGACGCCCGGTCCACTGTCTCTTGCGCCGCCACAGCAGCAGCCGTCATTGTTGAAGCGCTTGATCCCATCTGTGTGTGAGTACGCGTGGGAGTGTGTGGGGGGGAGTGAGTGTGGGAGTGTGTGAGTGAGTGAGTGAATGTGAGCGAGTGAGTGAGTGAGTGAGTGAGTGTGTGTGTGTGTGTGTGTGTGTGTGTGTGAGTGAGTGAGTGAGTGTGTGAGTGAGTGAGTGAGTGAGTGAGTGTGTGAGTGAGTGAGTGAGTGAATGTGAGTGAGTGAGTGAGTGAGTGTGTGTGTGTGTGT